TGTGTGAGGGAGGGAGGGGGTGGCTCAAAACCCGTCATGTCCATTTAGAAACGCATTTATGTGTGGATTTTACCGAAAAGCTTTAATCAACGGTTTAAAAATATATAAATTTGCAGTTTCCAACGACGCTAGAGGTTTGGAAGTTATCAAACTTTGGCGGCTATTTTCCCGTTATTTGTACCTCTGACACCAGGCAACTGCCACTTCCTTTAATCGCAAGTACCTCAACCTCTATTCAAGATGGAAGGGTATTTTTTCATGAAAAACTAGACGAAAGCTTTAAAGTGATACCATAACTCCAGCGTATGGAAGTTTAAGGGAGGAGGTTGTTTGTTGTTTTTTGGGTTTTTTAAAAAATCAACTTGTTTATCTGGAAGGACTTTGTTTCCCTCTCATGTCAGCACGGGTTGGCTCTGGGAGGCAGGGTCAAAGCAATACATCCCCTAAATGATTTGAATTGTTTAATAATAATAAATTACATTTATATAGCGCTCAACTCCGATTAAAGCACAAAGGCTTTGAGCGCTTTACAATACAGTACAACGTACAACAGTAGCATAAAATGTTGTGTTCTGACTAAAAGAAAATTTCTCCTAATATTCATCCTATTAATTTTAAAACAGAAACAATTACTTCAGCTGACTTTTGAATAAATCAAAAGATTTGACCTCTCTTAAAGTACTTGGTGAAGCATTCCAGATCTTGGGGCCTTGGTATTTAAATGCCCTTTCACCCATTGTTTTAGGTTTCATAGATGGTAAAATAAATTTCTTTTTTTCTTTGTTTCATTAACATATACCTCTTCTTAACGACTTATTTGTACCCTGCAGGCACTTGGTTTCAAATTATAAAAAAACAACCATCATTTGTCCGTTCTAAGGATGATCATCTTCGTGGGGGATGGCAACAACGAGGCAAATTTCACCACCTCAGCTTTCGCATTGTGACTACTTTGATTATAATGAAGTTCTATTGCATGAGAGCGTAATAGCCGTGCAAAAAAAGAAAGAAAAGTGATAATGAAAAGGGATAGAGTAATCTAATACAAATGCGTGCGGTATCGAAAAGGTTATCTCGATAACACGCTCTTCCCTGTCGTGTAGTCGTGTGGTCGTGTGGTCGTGTGGTCGTGTGGTTTACGTCCTATTTTTACAAGTCAGCGGGTGTATCATAAGGTAGGCCTCGAGTTTGAAGCACGAAAAATTAGTCATCGTGTCGCTTAAAGCAGATTACACATTATAACGATTGTTTTATAAGAAAGGTAGACTCGCGAATTAAAAGGTAGATCTAGGCCTGTGAAGCTGGTATACAGATACATGTACTATAGGTAGACTGATAATATCAAGACAGGTAATATTATTACTCGTGCAACTATGTGGGCATTGTATACGGATATATGTAGGTGCGGTGGTTGTGGAGGTAGATAGGTTGAAAGTTAGGTAGATAGGTTGGTAGGTGTGTTGACGGGTAGGTAGGTAGGTAGGAAGGTAAGTAGTTAAGTTGGTAGGTAGGTAGGTAGGTAGGTAGGTAGGTAGGTAGGTAGGTAGATAGGTAGGTAGGTAGGTAGGTAGGTAGGTAGG